CCTTTAATCGTACTTTTTTTGGTTCTTTTTGAGTCTACACGTGTCTACATGTATATAATATCTCATTACCATTTACGTCATTTTCACCACGTGACACACGCACACACATGAAAAAGAGTTAAGAAAGAGAGAGTTAGACTGAGATGTGAGTCAGTAGTAATCTATGGAAACATGTACAGTAATGCTAAAGTGGTAAATCAAGAGAATATGAACTAAGAGAAGGAATCCCCGTACCCCATCATATGCACACTTTGATGCTATTTTTAGAATCTATTCTAAAAATATCATCCAATGATATCATTTATTTGATTGTTTGATTTTCTGCACGCGCATAGTGTGTGAAGCTATCCCTCTAACGAGTAAGATGTCTACTTAGTAAATGATTGTTATTGTTTATGTGTTATTTTGTGGCTATGAAGTCCGATTCTATAGAAAAACATCGTCTTTGACAGGTAGCACATACGAACTCTGTAGCTGTTGGTTCAACTGTTGGAGAAGTTTGTTGCCTTGATTTTCTTTGCGACCGAAGTCTTTCTCTGTGCTCTTTTCTTCGTTGTTCACTTTGCTTCGCTCCTGCGTAAATAGCATGTCTGCAGCCAGGTCTGTTGCCAGCCTGCTCCTCCCAATCATCTGTGTTGATAGCACATTGTTTGAGATTGTGCTTAAATTGTCTTTGAAGCGTTTCAGTTGACCACCTTGGTTTCGCTTTCCATTGGTCAGCTCACCGTATAGAATTTTCTTGGGGAGTCTGGATACGGGCATACGCACAACGTGCCCAGCCCATCTAAGTTGGTTCTTGATRATGATGGTCTCGATGCTGGAGATATTGGCCTCTTCTAACACACTATTGTTGGTACGTCTGTCCTGCCATTTGATGTTCAATGTACGGCGAAGGCATCGCTGATGATATTTCTCCAGGTTTTTGAGGTGGCGACTGTAGGTGGTCCAAGCCTCTGAGCCATAAAGCAGGATTGGTAGAATCATGGCTTTGTAGACCTTGATCTTTGTGTTGATATTGAGGTCTTTGTTATCAAATACTCGAGTTCTCAGGTGCCCAAATGCACCACTAGCTGAACTAAGACGAACTTGAATTTCTGCATCCAGATCATAGTACGCACGCGCTCTACGTTGTTTGCTAACGTTTTCTCGGTGCTTTTCTTACGATGTTGAAATGTTTAAATCTGCCCTCAAGATGACGATGTAGGTCGAAAGCCTTGGAAAATAAATGTAAAAATACTCCAGAAAGTTGAACAAATTGCTGCTCAATTTCCTGTCGTATTTGCCAAGCTTTTGACGTGCACATTCATATTCAGGGCAGAGTCGAAATAACGGAAAACCCTCCAAAACGTAAAAGCAAACAGCGTAGAGCGCGCGCAGTAAATGCGCGTGCAGAAAAACAAATGGTTTAAAAATAGCACCAAACTGTGCACATGATGGTTACAATGATATAGGGGGGATTCCTTCTCTTAGTTCATTTTCTCTTGAGTAAATTCTACACCGTGAAAAGATGATGAAAAGACTTACTGACGTTTCGGACCGTAGTCCTTCGTCGGAGTAAAAGAGGAGAGTGAATTTGAGGGGAATTGAAACAAATTAAAATCAAATGGTTGAAGGAGGGAAGCAAATCGAAATAAGAGTCTTCAACACAGAGCCATTGGGACTAACGATAATGCTGAAATTTTTTAAGACACTGAAAAAAAAATCTGGTGTATCAGAAATTAATTCCTAGTATTTTGCTTATGTACGATATATAATTTGATTGTACAAGGTTTTCAATCTATGAATTTCTTAAACTAAAAATAGTTTGTCAGTTTGCAAATACAAGAAGAAGTTAGTAAGAGGTTGTTCCCAAGATGGCGTCTATTTCGTTCCTTTAAGCAGTCCCACGAAACACTGCAATACCAACCTGACCCCATTTTCCCCTTAATGAATGACTAAAGTTACCCTTTACTAACCACGTTTACATTACATAGAACTATTTTAAATTTACAACTCACCACCCTTTGCTTCATTTTGTCCAAAACAAAAAACAAAACAAAACAAAACAAAAAAGACGGAAACTTCAGAACAGCTTTCCTTCTTTTTTTGAAAAATCAGAGTTTGAGCACTGGTTTGGATTTGCATTAAGAGGAAAAGATAAATTTAAAAAAAATATGCCTTTGTTTTTGGACTTTTTAAGACAAAAAAAGAAACAAAAATTGTTTATCGGCCACTTTAGCAAAAAAACTTGTCATCGCTAATCACCACAGCATCGCTAAGTAGAGCAGTGCCGCAGCTCAAACGGGTTAGAACTGTGAGCATGTGAAGGCGCCTCTGGCAGCCGCTATACTGTCCATACATCACCCTGGAGCGAAGCTTTTACCATTTTGAATTAGTTAGGTTAGAGAGGAGGGAGGAAAAACCGCAGACCGAAAAATCCCTTGGAGTCAGGAAGACAACCACGACCAACTCAGCTCACACCGCGGCATCCCATTATTGTTCCCAGATCCTACAGCCGACATGACTTATACTTTGATATAAAAATAAATAAAAAATAAGTGTCATACTGAGACACTTTGATTTCTGTTTCCTTCTTATCTTTTTAATGTTTGATGTAATTTTTATGATTATATTTAGTTTCCTAAGCAGCTGCTATTAGTGTAGTTATCCAATGCTCACTCCCGCTAGCGAGCATTACGTGGGGGAAATTGCCACCAGGTTATATAATACGATCCTTTGCTGGGTAACCTGCAATATCAACCTTCCTGTTTGTTCTTGCTCAGACTAGAATTTTCCTGCTTCTCGCTCAATCCTTACTATATCAGCTTAGTATCACCACAAGTCCTGCAACACTTGATCGCTAGAATATCATGAACTTAATCAGAAAATTATTAGAATGAAAGTTGCATGTCTAATGTTAAACAAATATTTCGGCAAATGTTATTGGCTTCCAGGTACGGAATTCCAATAGAATGAAGGCATTTAACCCGTCAAATAAAACATATTTTTAGGCTTAAATTTAGATAGCCGATTCGCGCGTTATTAAGCGACAAATAATTATCCGTATCCAAACTGATTATATAGGGAGTTGCATCTACTCTCCATCTAATGCTCTAATGCACTAGTCAATTGAAACCCCCGCCCACCGACCCCCGCGGCTAGAGGGGCACTGAACAGGGACTTGACGCAATTTTGATGTGCTTTTAAGAGCATGATTGCATCGGGGGTTCGGGGATTTAACGAATGGTTTTCTCAACGCGGAATCGAGCGGGGATTTTAACGCTCGTTTGAATATGTAAGGACCTGGAAACAAGAGGTCGTCCATCTTGAAAAACACCAAGAAGGCGTTGTGATTCCAAGCACAGGCATTCCGTAGCCTAGTACAGAGCAGTACGTTCTACACAAAACACATGCTCCCCGAGACATGCTCAAACAAACTTATAGCAGTTTCTACCTATACACTTTTACACTGAACTCCACTCTGATAAGAACCTTTCTTAAAATTGTAGCCTTAATAGGTTCTTATGTGGAGAGGTCTTAAAGTAAGAATTTTAGCCTATAAACAGGTTCTTAAAAAAAACAGGTTCTTATACGCGGGTTTTGTTCAGTCGTTTCGGTGAGTTCGAATGTAAAATCAGATCATGATTAATCTATTAAAACTACTGCTTCGCAATATTTACAAGCATTGTTCATTTTCAATTTAATACCATTAAATTCTCAGCTGACTAGACATAAACCTAAACGTTTTCGCACGATTTGAGGTTTAGAGCCCATGAAAATATTGAGCATTGAATATTTAGTGCATGGAACACACCCGGCAATTGGCTCTGCGTAGCACAAGAATTTGGAGTTGGCGTGAAATGTGTTTCTTGTTGACTACTAAACCAAAATAACGGGGCCACAATAGCGGGGGTTTTAACATTGAATGTGCCCCCGACTACCGGGGAAAATGTCTGATTCTAACACCACTCAAATGTTAAATTCCCCGGTATTTCGCGCGGGGGTCGGGGGGTGGCTTTTTCAATTGACTAGTGCATAAGCTATAGATAAAATGGTGAAGTCGCGATCGTATGACAAAGTTCTATTACTAAGAGAGTATACAAGAAAGTACTGTGAGAACGTGATAGTCCCCTAGATCACTTGAAAATCCTTGATCTGCCCCTCAATAATCTATTCCAAAACCCCAAAGCATTGTCAACTGTACGAAATTGATCTCCTTCTCCTCCTGGCTTTATACAAACATGATGTAATGCTTCACAAGTCATGTGGCCTGCACATGGACAGAACACGCTACAGCGTCCACCTTCTCTGTTCTGACGGCATGAGATGGTTAACTCTGGTAGTAAAGAAACTGTAACCACTATAACAAACACTTGACGAAGAGCTACCATACTTGATTTTTAAAATGACATGAAACTGAATAAGGGGAAAGAAAATATAAGTTTTGAATAGTTGCTGTTCACAGACTAATAATAATAATAATAATAATAATAATAATAATAATAATAATAATAATAATAATAATAATAATAATAATGACTGCATTAAAAAAAAATGGATCAGGTTGAACCAAAGGAACAATTTGGTATAAACCCATGTGCAGCATGATAAAATAAAAACTATACTTATGTAAGCTATATAATATATTTACAATATTATGTCACTGCACGTGATGTAAAAAAACACTAAAAATATAAAATTTAGAAATACGATTATGATAGAAAATAAAAATAATAAAAAAAACTGACTGACAGAAAGAAATGAGTTAACTGATGTCTAAACGTACCATGATCTCAGTCATGGAACGTTCAGTTCACTGTTAAAGTTAGGGCTGTCTTTAGTCGCGCTTCGATGCAAAGGCACGACTACCTTTCAAGAATTCGCAGGGAACTGTGAAATGGACTATTGAGTGTTACAAACGGAGAAACTTTCATCATTGATTCAAAATAATAAAAGAGCGGAAATGCTCGACCCGCACTGCATGGACATTGACAAAGCCACACTATCAGAGTCAGTGGAAATTAGTTGATTACGAAGTATTACCTGGTATAATGTAGTGTCAGCGACTAATGATCCACTTTCCCACTGAACAATCTGAGATTAGGATTAGAAAACAGACGTATTTATAGCTGAAACTGTTTCGATTTTTTTTCCTTTTTTTTTTCTTCCATTGATTCAGGTGTAGATGGATGGCAGCTGATATTCAGTATATGCCAGCCGGCTTTTCCAGAATACTGCGAATTTTCTTGTAAGAACAGGAATTAATTCTACTTAGTGGTGCCTGTTTCTATATTTTGCTCAGTTATATATATAATATTTATTGATTTTAAAATGTTTGAATTTTTTCTACTGAAGATAATTCTTGTTAAGAAGGGGACCTTTTGACGCTTTTGAGTCTTTCTTTCTTCCCAAGCTTTCTTCTTCTCTTCCTTATTTTTTATTAATCAATTAATTAATTTTTCTTCTTTTTCGCCATGCATGGCCAGCTGACAGACTGAGAGAAAGAATATATTTGTTGCGGTAACTTGCGATATTAACAATTCGTTTGTTCTTGTTTAGACTAGACTTTTCCAGTACGTTTCTGTTTTACCAATCAACGTACTTACGACACTGATCAGTATTATATCTACCTTCAGTCTTTAACAATATTCTATTTTTGATCGCTAGAATATAGCTTAGTTTAATACAGGTGATTATTGAAAAGCTCGCGCGCTCATTGGTCGAGAAACTCAGATTATCACACGATAATCACCTCCAGCGATAATTCAAAATGGCGGCCAGCCGCTCTGTTGCTGTTACCTAATTTCAAATGTGTCTCTTATCTACTTTTTTTCCTTTTTTGAAAGAATCACCTGTGTATTTATAATTTATACTAAAACAATTATTCACCTCAGGCTCAGTGAATATCGGGAATAATACTGAACCTCAACTAGTTTCGGTGTATTATTCCCCGATATTCACTTCGCCTTCGGCGAATGATTGTTGAATATAAAGAGACTAGTAGGATGAAAGTTGTCTAATATATAGCGATTCAAGCATGTTGTTAAGAACTTTTGCCGGGTCCACTCGCTCGCTCGCGGCCTGATATGCCCAACTCGTGAATGTTAATTGAACTTCGTATCATGCAATTTGTCTGCAATCAAACGGGTGATTACAAAACTGCACGACCTCGGACCAAATTGCACACATAACCAAGTTCAATTACCACTTGCTTATATGCATTTTAAAATCTCATGCAATTTCGTCGGTTTTTGAAATCTCTTTTTAATAAATAGTTGTTAAAGGTGGACAGAAGAGGAAGATGATTCCCTTAGATGCAAATGATGATGATGATGACGATCAATGATATGTCATTTTTCTGCGCATACAACTAAAAGCATGACTTTTTTTTAATGTGGGAGCCTTTATTGGGAATGACTGCACATGATAGTGACGTATAAACCTCAACTGCGCATGACAGGTACATACGAACTGCTATCGATGTATAAAAGTCCATGTTCGTGACGTGTATGGTGGCTCCAGTTGAACCAAAATCTTATAAATTGTTCATGAGTTTTTGAAGCAGTTTAAAAAACTCATAGATTGTGTTTTATCAGGTCTAAAACCACTCGGCTACGCCTAGTGCTTTTATACCTGATAAAACACTCCCACTCGTTTTTTTAAACACTACTTTAAAAACACGAGGCGTAGCAGAGAATACTCATTAATAATTCATGAAGGAAACACAATAGTAATCATGACGGTGAAGGATGTTTTTTTGTGGTAAGAAAAAAACAACAATTTCCTCCTTGGTGTATCCTCTTATTTACCACTTTTTTCTTCATCTAGTCGTAAAAATATTTTGAGGACTCTCTCGGCTACGCCTCGTGACATTTTGACAGCTAGAATGACGAATATCGTGGTAAATAAGATGAGTTACACGGAAAACTGAAGGAAATAGGCTTAATTTAATGGACTCCCCAGTTGTAAAGAAGCTAAAATTTCCTCAAATTCTTACCGGCGCCAGCCCGCTGTCCGCCCACTTGCCGCGCGGGGTCTAGTACCTACCTTGAATGACCGCTGTCTGAACCTGAGCCCGTCAGCAGCTGCCATTTTGAACTCTCAAAGAACGTCAAGAAAAAGCAAAAATGAAGTAGTAGTTTTTACTCTCTCACTACGTCTGTGTGCTCTTAGGTTAGTATTGTAAATAGTTCATGTCGTGCTGGTTCAACCTTGTCATTTGTTGAGCGTAAGATTTGTGTTTTTAGGGAGTTACTCACAAAACTATTATAAACTACATCGTGTCGTCTTTATATGGGATAATATTTCTTGCTGTTTATATTTAACCAGAATTTCCTTTTCTTGTTTATTATATATATTGATGTTATTCATTTCAAAAGTCTGAGTACGTTGTACTGAATATCCAAAGGCCGCTATATTTTGGACTTTCAAAGTTAATACACACTTGCATGCCTCTATGTACAAGTTACATGAATGCATGTGCTCTCAGTGTTGCGGGCTTTCATGTGAAGTGGTCAGATTGTAGAGAGATTTGGTTATTCTAAAAAAAGGAGTCGATATTCAAAGTTGCCACAACAAAACACACCGTTTTCCTGAGGTTTCCTGTTTTGTTATACACCAATAAGTTTCAAAGAACACAAAGCAGTATTTGATTTTTTCATTATTTGATTTTGAATTATTACATGACACCATCTTGGCCAATAAGAACGGAGAGAGAAAGATGGACTTTGACACTCTCTTGATATATGACAAATTACCTTAGTTTTTTACCTCTTATAGCGGAGCTCCCGCGCGGAGCACCATAGGTATAGAATATGGTAAACTATGCAACTAAGTTTTTGTGGTCATCGCATGGGAACCCTGTGCGTAACGCTAAAAGTGTCGCCCGCCAGGTGTACATCACGCTTCTGATTGGTCGAGCTTTCAAATCACACGTCACTTGGAAAATGACGACTTTTTTTAACGAGCTTTTTTACTATCATTTTTTTGTAAATATTGTAAAAACGAAACAAAAAATTATTGTAGAAATCATGGAAAAAAAGGATTCGCCACACTGTGAAGATAGAGGTTAGGACATTTTCTATTTTGTTTTATTTAGTGTAGATAACATAGCTACAACATTACCGGAAAACGAGCAACAAACTAGCATGACGAACGAGCGAAAAAAGTACTTGTTTTGTTATTATGGTAAGAGTATTCGTAGTCCATACATGATATAAAATAATCATTTGAAAAAGCACTTTTTGAATTCCACAATTAAACAAATCCAAGAGATTTTTGACAAAGTTTAAAGCTAAATAACATTCCTAAATTTACCGGCAAACGAGCAACGAACTAGAATGACAAACATGCGAAAAGAGTGTACCTGATTTGTTATTATGGTAAGAGTACTTTCATTTTGAATTTCATTCAATAATTTTATATCTTTCTGCAGATAATTTATCTAATTATTGAATGAGTTTTAAAATTACACCAAATATTCAACTGTTTATTGAGCTTTTCGACCTAGTACATGATTATAAGAATGAGCTTAAATTTGTGTTGTTGTGAGATATGTTATTGTCTAAAGAATGGTACCTTGTCTTTCACTTTCAAAAGCTAAGAAAATATTAAAAAACATTTCCAAATGCCAATTTACTGACAAAAAAATTATTTTGTATTTGCATTGCATTTTGCGTTATTTTCTATTTTGCCTCAGTTGTTCTTGTCAAGTATAAATGAATGTAAACTTATTAGTTTTTCAAAAACTTTTGTTGTTAACAAGATGAAAACTGGTAAAATTGAATTTTCAAAATCTAGTAAGCATGAATGAAAAATACGGTTCTTGTAAAAACATAAAACTTTTGATGTGGATAATTAACCAAACATCGTTATTAGTGTAAAAGAACTAAGTAAAAGTAAGCTTATGTATTTTGCTCACCTTTTGTTTTACCAGTTTTCAAGTCTGTTTAATAGTCTTGATTTGTCCATAAAAGTTCGGAAATCTCCAAAATTTCGATTTAAATGACATCCGAGGTAAATTTCACTAAACCTGATATTGTAGTTATGTAGTATTAGTTATCTTTCGTTTTATAAGTAAAATTAACCAGGAATTCAAAGCTTAAAAAATGTCGGCCATGGAAAACTTTGTCGAATAATTTTCCAAGAAAAAAACTAGCCCCTGGGGGGGGTTGGTGGTGAGTTGTGTACAAAATTCATATAAGTGGGATCGGGGGAGTATTCTCGCGCAAAGAAAACGATGTGTAGTGCATTTTGATTCGTTTTCAGTGCATGYTTTTTATTATGGGAGACATTATCTTGATATTGAATCAAAAAATTGAAGATTTTTTTCCGATTTTAATCTTATCTTTCACATTCAATAAAATTGGGCTCCCTGTGACTTGCATATCAGGAGCTCCGCTTTTAGGCAGTGCCTAAATATATTTAATATATTTTGATATTGTTATTTGATCAACAGGAATTAATGAGGTTTAAATCAACGGGTAAGCAGTTTTGATGGGAAAGCGTTCCAAGGAACGTAATTTACTGGCCAATGCTGGCCGTAGACGGCCTGTACTTCAGATCAACAGGGTGTCAAGAAGGGAAGTGTCTGAAGGCAAGTACGAAATACAATACCATTCTACATAGAAGATTTTATGTATAGTGCATGTAAACTAGAGTATATTTAACAGTTTACTGTGTGATATTCAATCAGCCGTGCGTGTGTTTAATACACTGAATCGTCAAATATGGCGACCAATATATATTTAAATAACTATTTTTCTGCACTGATTAGTGACTGACTAGCCTCTCACACATGTAAAAACGCTTATATTGCCATGTGAACATGAAGCTAAATGGTGTTTGTATCAAACAATTATTAATTACAGTAATGCCCAATTCAAGTGCCGACATTGCAATCAATCCCAACAACATAACTGGTATTGGTTTACTTGGTGCGTATGGAGGTCACAGTGATGATGACGATGATGATAATGACGACAATGCTAAACAAGGTCAACAGACCGGGAATACCAAGGATGCAATGGAAACACAACTTGCAGATTTTTTCATGGTAAAAATACATCAATATTTTTCTATATTATAACACAATGTACCTCTTCTATATTTCCCTTCTTTTTCTTTAATTTCCTCTTTTGTTGTCCACTGCATTTCTTTCTTATGTATTTTTTCTTTCTCCACTGTATTTTCTTTCTGCAAAGTGAATATTGGGACAGAGCATAAAATTAATGCTTGCAAACTCACAAAATGTGAGTGAAATTTTGACAAATAACATAACTACATAGCTACAGTAAGTCTTGTGAGTATGACCAAATAGAAGGACTCAAAACTTTAGAACCGGCATCAAGTACATGTATATGTCAAGTTTAATAATGTCAAGCGTAAGTTATGTTTTTGACATGATTCTGGTGTCTTTGACATGATCAATGTACACATATTGTTGAATATTTCCAGGAAATCCAGTCAATGGAAACAGAATGTAATCCTTCAGAAACACAAGATCAAGCTGATACAATAAAACAGACGGTCAAACCTACTGATCAAGAACCAGCTGATGAAGAACATCAAAAACAAGAAGGTAATAGTAGAAAAATATTATTATTATTTATTAATGGTTTTCAAATGTTTTTAGAATAAAAAGAAGAAGAAGAAAGCAGAGTTCTATAGTATTAGTACTTTACTGTTGTCAAAGCAATGTCTTTAAGTTTAAAGCCTGTTTCTTTGACCTAACTGACTGTCGTGGCATTAAGAAGAACATGGAATTTAGAAGGCATTTCTACAGAGTACATGTAGCTTTTTGTCCACTGAAATTCCAATGGAATTTAGAATTTAGAAATTGATTTTTGCAAAGGGAGAAAAGCAGGAGAGAATTCCGACACCGAGCCAGCCAGTCAGTGGGACTAAAACCTGGGTCACATTGGGGGAGGCCCTGTCCACTCTATGAATCACATTTCTATCAGTGCTTGTTAAAACTTGGTTACAGTGGAACCCCACTTCACAGGTTTGGATATTTTTCAAAACTATATTTAAAGAATATAATCAATAATGGAGGGTCAAGAACTTCAGAACGATGAGTGAAAAGCAAATAACCATTTAAACATATATTTATTTCGTCAGTCAAATCAAGTCTAATTTAAGATGGAGAGTATATTAAAACTACTGACATCAGTAACGTAACATTCTTTTCTCCGTTGACAAAGCCTCTTCTATAGCGTTCGGAAGTCCTGGGAAAAAATGCACCTAAAATCTTCCAATGTACCCCCTACCCCCAAATAGTGGTACATAACAAAGATTAGGTGTTAAATTAGCAGCAGCATATATACTAGCACATTGGGCTACCCAAAGCAATCTCCAAGAGTGTCTTGTATTTATTTTAAAATTACATTACTTGCCATCCTTACCATTTTCCCCAGATCCTAACTATCCCTGGCAAGCATGCCTAGATGCTAATAGTAATTCCTATTATTTCCATCAGTGCTTGTTAAAACTTGGTTACAGTGGAACCACACTCATTCATTATGTACACTTCCATATACATGTAGGTCCCAACCAAATACACATACATTTTCTATTATATTTATTTCAAAATTACATTACTTGCCATCCTTACCCTTTTCCCCAGATCCTAACTATCCCTGGCAAGCATGCCTAGATGCTAATAGTAATTCCTATTACTATTGGAACATGGAAACAAATGAGGTACAGTGGGAACCACCACCAGGCTTCCAGTTTACTCAGTCAACTGAACCAGTATCCTACACTGATGAGCCATGCCTAAATGAAGAACACGGCATGCTCTCAACAACGTCAAGTGTATCTTACGATGTAGGGCCAGCAGAACAAGATGTTAATGAAGATGATTATGAAAATGAAGAAGAAGAAGATGAAGAAAACAAAAGTGTGCCATTTTTGCTCGGTAGTATGGTGAAAAAAGGTGAGTAGAAGATGTGAACCACTAACATAACACTAGGATCTGATATAAATTAAAGGTAATAAATTTATTATAAGACATTATATTGGCTGAAAAATACTCTAGTTTCGAGATCTCTGCTGCTCAGGGTTAACCTTGATTTTGTGTGCTACAATATAATCACATGTTCCAGTGAAGGTCCATGGAATTTTAAAGTGTTTTTATATTCATTCCTCAAAATTGTGCATTCTTTACTTTACCATTGGTATTTGTGAATATTTAGTCACTGATTCCAGACTAACCCTGATTAAATAAGTCTGTAATCATGGAACACAGCAGTAATTTGGAACTCAAACTCGGACCCCAAGGTTAGAATAATAATTGCTGTAATGACCTTGTTGAGGTACTTCTAGCACTTTTTAACTAACACTACCTTTTAATACTCTAAGTAGAAAATTGTTTATGTTCTTTCTCAAAATAAAAAAAATCTACAAAGCTTTTTGCTGTTGTATCACAGCGTGGGAGCTAGGCTCCAAACTAGGTGAAAGCCCAGAGAACGAATTAGAATTTAATAGTTGATTTTTGTGAAGGGAGGAAAACCAGAGAACCCGGAGAAAAACCCTTGAAGCACAGGAGAGAACCAACAAACAACTCTATTCACATATGAAATCGAGATCGGCAGGACTCGAACTTGTGCCGCATTGGTGAGAGGCGGCGCATTAGCAGCGCACGCCACTGGTGCTTCCGGTAGGAATAGGACAAATTTGCTTAGTTTTACAGTAATGCTGTCATTCCATAGAGTATTATTTCTTTGTTTAAGGGTTACACATTGGAAGGCACATGAATATGGATACAATTCAAACAACAATATATCATTCTCAAGAGATGTGGTCTGAAATGGGAAAATTGGATTACTGGTCCATACAAATTACCTTTAAAGATTATTCTAAAACTTAACTACAGCTGTACTGTATAACCTTTCTTTGAATCCCTAGAAGAGTCCCTGAACACGTCACTGTACAGTAACATTAGTCTGTGTTAGTTTTAATAATTATGTTAATAATTATTTATACTTCAATATATTTGTAATCTATTTATAATTCTCATTATGTGCTATCAAGCATCAAGTCAAACTGGAGATACCTTGCCAATACCAGATGAGCAGGCAGACAGCAGTGCTGATGATGATGATGATAATGATAAACCTGATGATGATGATGATAAACAATCACATGATGAAGACCTACCTGATAACATTGGTCATCCACTACTGGTTAGTACTGATACTCAACAAGATAGTAGTCCTGTCATCACAGATCTTGGAAAGAAGAGAGAGAGTTGTGAACCAGCAGCAGACAAATCACTGGTAATGAAGAAACCAAAACTTTCTGAAAATGAAGACTCTGTTGATGACTTCGCTGAACAACTTCTGGAAGGTACAGTATATGGGTCAGAATGCTATATTTCTCTAAAAGGATTATATGATCTGTGTAGTGTACTTAGATCTTATTAACCGAGCTTGGTCGGCCTGTACGGGATAATCTTGACCGAGGTCTGTACCCGACCGAGGTCAAGATTATCCCGTACAGCTCGACCAAGCTCGGTTGATAAGAGTTTTATTATATGACCACTTTTCATTGAAAAGGACAAAATGTTTTCACCTTAAGATTAATATGCGATTGGGCCGGTTAATACCGGAGAATCTAGACCAGTCCGCGATGCAATCTATCCAATCAGATTGCTCGATTTGCTAGTGTCCAGGCTCTAAGATTCACGGTCATATAATAAATGTACTTATTAACCTCTTTTCATGTCAGATATCCCGATTACAGTCGCAACAATCTAAAAACTTTAACAATTCAGCAGCCTGTTCTGAAATTGTTTAAAATATTTTATTTGTTTGTTTGCTTGCTTGCTGTGGCAATCAAAGTAACATATTCTTCTGAATCAAAATATAATGGGAATTCCCTTATTTGACACTGTATATTATCAACTGATTGAAAATGAAATAACAGCATACAGTGTTGGACAGAATTAAGTGTCTCATGATCATTTGCTTTTGGTTTGGAAGAAGCAAAGATTCTAGACAACTTAAAAAGCATGTAAGCCACTCTCCTAAACGTGGCAACCTAAGTATTACAATCTTGAATCACAAGCTATTATGAGTCATCCAGAGTGGAAAAACAAAAAAGGCAATCGATAATATGTAGATTTCAATTGTTTATCTTTTTTTACTTCAATTCAGAACTCTGTGTCTGCGAGCTACCTGCTGAAATTTATTTTTTCACTGCCCTCCATCAATCCTAATTAGTGGGTACCTTTCATATTTTTGACTGGCAGCAGCGAAAAACCAAATTTAAGCGTGCAGCTTGCAGACACAGAGTTCACAGTTTATGAAAATTGCAGTAATGGGTTAAGGTGATGGATATGCAGTCTTTGGCTAGCTGCATTTTTTGCTCCCTGGATGCCCCATAATTCATTTCAATCTAAGCTGCGTTATCGCCAAGAGATAGTGATTACAGTATCATTCCCTTGCTAGCTCTCTTCTAAGTTTGTTTTGTACTAATATTAAATTAGATACATATGATCAAGGACAGAAGGAGGTAACAAGTGAAGATAACATGGAGATGTCAGATGAAGATGAAACTGAACAAACAACTGATGATAGACTGCTACCCCCTGAAGCATTCCAGCACATTGATTCCCCACCACAAGAAAAAGATAAACCTGTCTCTGCACCTCTCATTGGTACATATCACTTGTAGATTGATTTGTTAGTTATTCTAGACATTAGACCGCCTGGAAATTTTAAAAAATGTTTTTGTTGAATTGTTTTATTGCAGATGAAAGAAAAGTTTCTTTATACACTGAATTAGAAGAAAAAGAATTTAGAGTATGTATAACAAATTATAAGAATCTGTTCATAATATTAATTTTATTAATTTATACATTTCTTGAAAGAAGGGGTGGTAAGATGGAAAGAGAGATTGAGAAAGTGGGAGAGGAAAATGGGAGAAGAAGAGTCTCAAATGGACACAGATCTTAAAATTATGGACACCTCTATATTATGAATTATGATGTCTGTAAATTATGTTGTTTGGGTTGAATTTTGGCAGCCTGCAAATTTTGTTTAGATTCTGATAAAAGATAAAAAATAGAAATATTTTACTTGACCTTACTCTACACTACCACAGCATTAACGTTTTGCAACACACAACACTCAACTCACATGTTGATTTTTATGGAGGGAGGATTGAACCAGAGAACAAATTCAATGCACATGTTTGTCGGTATCATTCAATAAAAAATTCTCACAACTATTGAATGTATATTTGGTATATTTGATATTAGTGATCAATGACATTGGTTTTTGGAAATTAATATAATTTCTTTTTTAATCTGTTATTTACAGAGCAAGATAATAGAGAAGTCAGCACTACTGAACAACAAGTTGGAATTTCTTAATGTGTCCACAAAAGACATTTCTACTTTGCATGTTATTTTCATTGAGATGGAGGTGAGAGAAAGTTAAATTGAAATAACTAACTAGAGTAGAACTTTAAAAGCGTTTTGTTTTGAGGCATTTAAATAATAAAAAAATTATGACGACTAGTTTTGTCCACATTTACAAATGCACCCCTGCCAGTGTCATTATCTAGAGTGTGTGCATATAATCAAAGGCAAAAGTTCTAATATGTTACTAGAATTACTTACTACTTTTTGTTTTTCCTATTTCTCTACTTTTCTTTCTTTACATTCTTTCTCACACTGGTTTGATTCCTCCATTTCAATTAAAAATATAAGGTTTACATCAACTTCCATCCTGCAGGATTAATTTACCTGTCTCGGCTTTAATTCATATTTGATTGAATATGTTGTTACACGCTTCTATTAGCCTTTTAGGCTTCTGTCTAAAAAAAGCTTATAACTCATTTTATCATATGACCTGTATCTGCCTGGGCGCGCACTTAGAAAAACCTTCGGGGAAATGTTGTGAGCAGGGCCGTACGGCTTTGAGCGAGCAGGGCCATACGAATCTGTACACCCCTGCTCGAATCCGCGCGCTTTCTCTTTTTTAGCTTTTATTTACTATTTCTTTCTTTCTATTATTTTTTTATTATTTTTTTAGTGAGGGTCATATGATAAAATGCTTATTGACTGAGTTAGGTCGGGCCGTATGGTAAAATATTTGGCTCTCGGTCATTTGTACGGACCTCGCTGCGCTCGTTCCGTACGGCATCACCTCGAGCCAAATATTTTCCCGTACGGCCCTCCCACTCAGTCAATAAGTACATAATCTACACCTGGTGGCCATTAACTAACATAATATATTTCTGGGTTGTATAATTATAAAAATAAGTGAAACTATTATTGATAATGATGTTATTAATAATAATCCCTTTTACTTAGACCCGTATCAAAGACTGGAGAGAAGGGGCACTAGACAGTCGTCACTTAGTAAGAAAGTTACAAGAAGCTGATGAACAAATCAAGAAATATGAAGAATCTGCTGTCCCCCCTGGTTGGAGCTGCCACTGGGACAGGTACTGTATCATCTTCTATTTTGCCAGGGGGAGTCTTAATGCTGGATGAACATTTTAAAAGAGACTATGCTATGGATAATGAGATCAGTACAAAGACATCATCTATCACAAGATAGATGAGTGTTGGGAAAATCATGAGAACATTAAGTTATTTAACTGTCTTAAATGCATCATTCTGTGTATATTATCTGTGTCTGTCTGTCTATGTTTTTGTGTCTTCGCAAGTCCTGTTTCCTACAAGCGTATCTTTTTCATATCATAATGTCAATGTCACCACCATTATCATCATCATTGCTATCATAATCATTAATATTGACATATTTAATGGCATTATATCATCATTGCCATTAACAACCCTCTCATGCACAGGCATTAGTTATCAATTCAACCAATACCATACACTGTAATCATTATCATCATTATCATCACCACCACTATCAACGCCACTACCATCATTAGCAAACATCATCATTATTATCCTTATCATCAGTATCATCATCATCATAACCATCATTGGCATTATCATTATCATTACCACTACTGTACCATCATCATCATCATCATCACCACAACCACTTAATATTATCATCAACATTATCATCATCATTACAACCATCAGTGTACTCTTGTGTGTGTCTGTGTTTGTAAATGTGTTGTATCTGTGAAATCCTGCAATCGTTGAATATCTGATGGCCAAGACAAAAGTATATCCTGGTACAATGATCTACCAATCCAGTTCTCTTGACTATCGTCATTGGAACAACAAGAACAAAGAACAGCTAGAGGTCAGTGAACAGTTAGTTAATATACGTCAGTGAGAATATATGCTGGTACGACATGTATATATACTATTTACACTATTGTTATGCCGAGAGGCTTGGCAAAGTACAGCATGACTGCTGACATAAAATATTTATAAATTCTTCTTAATATTTCTTTAAAAACTAAAAAAATCACATTCTGAAGGTAAAATAAACATTTATAAACTTGTGATAATCAAAAGAAGTTGTGCGGTGTTGCCAAGTCTCTCTTGTTTACATGGAAAACTAAATCCAAACCTTGTTTCTCATTTTTCTTTCCTTCTCTTTCTTTCATTCACTTCCAGAAAGCACAAACGTTATTACTACACCAATAATGATACGCAGCAGTCACAGTGGGATTTCCCTGTAGAAGAACTAAAAGAAAAGGAACAGGAACCTGACCAGGCAACAGCATCATTAGTTTCCATGGCAACCACCATGCCGACAAATGTCATGCCTATGACTTCTATGCTGACGACTATCATGCCGACGACTATGACTCAAGCAGCACTAAATGTGACAGCACCTGTGGTCCCAACATGGAACACTGCGGCAAGCCTCATGGCAGTAAACAGTAGTGCTTTACAAGTGCCAATGATGCCAATGGGTATAACATCAGTATCTCATGCAAAGGCTATGCCTGTTATAGGTAAAGTACGGTAGACATTCTATGGGATGATCGCAGGGTTAACCACAGATCATTTCACACGAGTGATTTGATGTTGCAATCAAATAACCTTGATTGTCATGTGACAATCGCACTGCAGTTATCGCCAGTGTGAACGGGCCTTAAAGTGCCTAATAATTTAGGATATTTATTTTTTATGTTTTTATATAAAAAAACTAGCCATTCTAAAATATGTATCAAAATAGTTTTTGATTCTGAAGCCTCCTATTTTATTTTATTTTATTTTTATTTTTTTTCAAGCTGTCAAATATACAAACTGGCTTTTTTTTTACCTCTGGTCAAGTGAAGTGATGATCTAGGGGACTGGCCTGTGATGTCAAAGGAGCAAATTAGTTTTGGATGCCCCTTATTCTCTATAGATTTCACTAGTATTTATGGCCAATTCACTGTTTTTTACGCTTCCAAAAGGCCTTATATTATTGGCTGGAGGGTCTTAAAAACTTCAAACTTCGGAAATGAACTTTTTTATGGAGATATTTTTTTAGAAATTAATTTTTTCGGAGGGAGGAAAACTGGAGAACTCAGAGAAACACCCTCATGGCACAGGACAGATACAACAAATAGCCCTGCTCACATAGGACCCCCAAGCCTGGCAGAAGTCAAACCAGGTCGCATTAGTGAGAGGTGATGCATCAACAGTAAAGGCCACCTGTGCTTTGTCTTGGGGTGCAAGAGATTTGGTCCTGGTGTCTTTTGTCATGTCAACCAACATGGTGGTCACATCTTTTCTCATTTTATTGTTATGGGTTGCACGCTGCTAACTGATGTCCTCTTTCTTATCATTTCAGGTCTACAACATTATTATAACCCTCCAGCACCTGGGACTGAGAATGGAGAATCTGTGATATTCAACACAAGTACAGCATGTGAATCACCACCTCCTCCCCCTGGTAAGTCTAGATAGAATAATGTGGAGGGAGGGAGGGAGGAATGGAAGGAGGGAGGAATGGATGGAGGGAGGGAGAGATGGATGGATGGATTGATGGAGGGAGGGAGGAGAAAGGGAGAAAGGGAGAAAGGGAGGGATGGATGGGCACAATAAAAATCTTCCTTTTTTTATCATCATCATCATCATCATCGTTATTATTTATTATTATCATTATCATGACTACCATTTCTTTTTTCTGACTGGTGAGCAAGTTTTTTAAAATTACTTTAAATTGGTGATTCTTTTTAGCTACTTGTAAAGAACTGAATGAAACAATGTGTAACCAGTGTGTTACCAAATGCAGTTTTATTACGATCTCTCGAAACAGAAAGTTTGTTTGCTCACCAGTATATTTCACCCATGCAAGGGCGCCAGGACAGATGGATTGGATTTTGAATATGTGTGATTGTTTCAGTTATTCGTAGATTTCTAATTGAATTGATATATGTTTGTTTCATCTTTAAAATAAACGTCCTTTCCAACCAACAGTCCTTCTGGTTTGAATCAGACGTACGATATGAATATAATTTATTTACCACGTCCACCAACGGTCTTTCTGGTTTGAATATGCTGTACGTACGCTCTGAGTATTTACCGCTGCACTATCCTTGACAAGCAGCGCAGGCGCCGCTTCGTTAGCGATTACTCACCTTTAATAAGTTAATCAAATTTACCCTCAGTACAGTAAAATAGGTCTATTTTACTGTACTGAAGGTAAATTTGATTAACTTATTAAAGGTAAGTAATCGCTAACGAAGCAATGCCGGCGCTGCTTGGCACGGATTGTGCAGCGGTAAATACTCAGAGCGTACGGCTGATTCAAACCAGAAAGACTGTTGGTGGACGTGGTAAATATATTCATATCGTACAGCTGATTCAAACCAGAAAGACCGTTGGTTGGAAAGGATGTTTATTTTAAAGATAAGTGAACACTATTTAGTATCCATTTAGAAACAAACATATATCAATTCAATTAGAAATCTACGAATAACTAAAACAATCACACATATTCAAAATCCAATCCGTCTGTCCTGGCGCCCTTGACCCATGGGAATCAAGATGTTCATTCATTTGCTCTCAGTGAATTAATCA